AATGTGATGTATACATAATGTATACAAGTTTTTGATATTAAAAATAATTTATTTTCTTCAATCTTTGTTTTATCTCTTCTCAAGTTTCTGTAGTTTGTGTTGTGGAGACAAAATGGATGCCACCCTCATACCCTTGCCAACAACCAACTCTCTCTCGTATTTACTAACTCGAGCCAAATAACAATTTAGCCAAGCAAGACAAAAGGGGGTAACAACCTAAAATTCTGCAACGTGGACAAAATGGACGTCATCTCAAACATACCCTGGTCACCAACCAATATTGCTCTACCCTGAAAAAGTCTGCAACGTGGAAACAAAATGGACACCAAACATAGCCTGGTCACCAACCAATGTTGCTCTACCCTGGAAAAAAGTCTGCAACGCGGACACAAACATTCCAGGGTCACTAGCAAATATTTGCTCTACCCTGCTCTAGGGCTCTAGTGTTTTCTTATCCCTATTCTACTACTACTAACGTTTGGCTGGTTTGCCAAGTCTTTAAACAAATTTCATTATATTTTCTGTTATAATATGTTGAAAGATATTCCAGCTAAACATATATAGGGTTACTTTGTAAAGTTATCAAGTGAGGTAAAATGATTAAAATGTTGAATATAGGAAATGCAATAGTTCGTACCTTTTATGGTATCTTAAGAAAAATGGAAAACTCTTATAGTAGAAAACTGCTAAATTCGTTTACCTCATGATTTAGTAAACAGACAACATTCAATAATACTGCACTGTATTTAGCATGTTTAGCACGTGGTTATGAATAAGAACCGCATCGAGTTCACTCATGGCATAATTCATTGATGTATCAATTTCTGATATTACTTTTAAAGTTGACAATGCAAAATTCTACCATTTCTGATCGATCAATAAAAAAAGGTGTATTTGTTGTCAAAAATATATGATAGGGTATGATTTTCTGTTATTCAAAATATATGAAAAGGCGGAGTACTGGATGTTGTCTCAGCTGTAAATGATTGAAGAGGACCTCCCGATCCTTAACTATCATGAATTGATCCAATACGATAACTTGAATTACTAACTCAGGCACCCCAAAGTGCTTCAAGAGCAAATAATTACACAATGAATTACATGCAATACATTTATCATATCTAGGAAACAATGATTGATTGTTTTTTTCTTAACGTACAGGGGCAAATATTTCATGCATTTTCAGGACGAAATTGAGCAAACAAAACAGAATAAAATAATTAAAAGAGAGGCGAAAGATACCGACCAACAGTACACAAAACACAACATAGAAAACTAAAGACTGAGCGAACCCCTCCAATAAATGGGAGTGATCTAAGGTGCTCCAGATTGGCAAGCAAATCCTGCTACACATGTGGCACCTGTGATGTTTCTCATGTAAGTATAAACCTGGTAATAAGTCTACTTCGGTAGGTCACATTCGAGGAAAAGTAAGCAGCATCCTTTAGGATGATAAATGTTGTTTTACTTTTCAGTATGTTGAGAGAAGTTCAGAACAAGCTATTTTGTTTGAAGAGTGGTCAAGACTTCATGTTTTAATAAAGTGCATTGTATTAGAAGTTAAGCACTTAACAACCATGATACAATTATCAATAGTTAATTGTTATTTCAAAGAGTTTGTATGACTTAAATGTGTCATTTTTCATATGAAGACTAACAAGGCAAAGAATTGGATGTGACAAAAATTTATATGCATTTTAAGGCATGAAGAACTTGTACTGTCTTCTGCAGATTTCAGGAGAATATGTTTTAGATAGTAAACTCTGTGTATGAAATGAAGAGGGCGCTTATTAAAGGATTTATAAAAAAATGAGTTCTTCCTTGAATTTATTAAAACAACATAAAAGATAGACAAATTTCTTTCTTTTTTCATGAGAGAATTAATTCTTTTATACTAATTCTTAATAGATGTGATTAGAGAAATACCACACAAGGTGCTTTTTGAAAGTCTATTTGTTAGCCTGAAATATACTTGTTATGATGTTTTGTTGTTGTGGCAAACACAATGTTTATCAGTTTGGTGTTTTTTCCAAATTTTAAAGTAAAATCAGTCTGAGACTTTAAAACTGGTACTCCAAAAGGAAGAGGCAGGTGTCTTACTGTGGGCATTTGTCTTGGTGAACTAGCACCTTAAAGTCCAGTTAACCGACAGGCCAGCTGGCTAGTACATGCAGACAGGTACTTATGTACCATTTGGCATTTTAAAAACTTTTGGCAATTTTTTTCTTTAGGACTTTTACCTTTTTCCATTTTTTTATTTTTTTAAAACTGTTTTAAAATATTTTTAACATCTTTCAATTCAGTTAAAAACAAATTTCTTTTTGTAAAATTTACATCACACATTTTGGCTTATTGTAACTTTGGCATTCAAAATTGAAAATAAAAACTAAAACTTCAAAATTGGCTGTATACTAAAAAAAATCAATGTTTTATGTCTAAAAGTTTTGATCTTCGTTTCAATGTTGAAATTTTATTCTTCCGAGCCAGGTACTTCATGATTAAACATCTTTTCATCAACAAACTTTTTATAGGGGTAGCTAACAACCATGGTAGTCAAATATAAGTGGCTAAGGATTGTATGGATTAGAGAGAAATGGAGGGAGGGAGAAATAGGAAGAATTGAGAGGGTGAGGGTAAATAATGAGAGTGGTGTGTAAAGATGTATGTTCTTGAGTGAGAAAAAGGAAGGTCTGCGAGATTAGGGTAATTATGATAGTGGTATGTAAGGATGTATGTTCTTTAGGGAGCTACTATTATATTTTTATGGGGGGGGGGGGGGGGGAGACTAGGATGAAAAATTTTGTCCTGCTTTTTTTTTTTAGTTGTAATCTCTGTCCTGCCTTTTTATTTTTCACTCTATTCTGTCCTGCCTTTTTTTTATTAGTTTATCCTGACTTTTTCCCCATAAATTGTCATCCTGCCTTTTTTGTTTGCAAAGTTGCTCATCCTGCCTTTTTTTTTTACTCAAAACTCCTGTCCTGCCTTTTTTTCAAATTTCATCCTTGCCCCCCCCCCCCCCCCCCCCCATAAAAATCAAATGGTAGCTCCCTTAGGGAGAAAAAAGAAGAATTGAGAGGATGAGGGTAAATATTGAGAGTGGTGTGTAAAGATGTATGTTCTTGAGGGAGAAAAAGGAAGATCTTAGAGGATGAGGGTAATAATGAGAGTGGTGTGTAAAGATGTATGTTCTTGAGGGAGAAAAAGAAAGATCTGAGAGGATGAGGGTAATATTGAGAGTGGTGTGTAAAGATGTATGTTCTTGAGGGAGAAAAAGGAAGATCTGAGAGGATGAGGGTAATAATGAGAGTGGTGTGTAAAGATGTATGTTCTTGAGGGAGAAAAAGAAAGATCTGAGAGGATGAGGGTAATATTGAGAGTGGTGTGTAAAGATGTATGTTCTTGAGGGAGAAAAAGGAAGATCTTAGAGGATGAGGGTAATAATGAGAGTGGTGTGTAAAGATGTATGTTCTTGAGGGAGAAAAAGGAAGATCTGAGAGGATGAGGGTAAATAATGAAAGTGGTATGTAAAGATGTATGTTCTTGAGGGAGAAAAAGGAAGAATTGAGAGGATGAGGGTAAATAATGAAAGTGGTATGTAAAGATGTATGTTCTTGAGGGAGAAAAAGGAAGATCTGAGAGGATGAGGGTAAATAATGTAAGTGGTGTGTAAAGATGTATGTTCCTGAGAGAGAAAAAGGAAGATCTGATCTGGGTAATATTGAGAGTAGATTGAAAGAAGTATGTTTTGGAGGGCGTGAAAGAGTGGCAGAATGTTCATTTCTTTGAAAGGGCTTGTTGTACTGGTCTAATGGAAGTGCAGTTTTCTCTATTCTCTCATGTAGTTTCTATTTTCTTCAAAAATCTGAACTTTTAACTTCTGAAATTATTGCTGCCTAAAATGTTTTGTTTAACTTTGTCGATGAACACACACTAAAGAGCTGTTAAGTGATTAAAGCAATGCCATCCTTTTGTTTGAACTTGCCAATACAAGCAATTTCTTCTCACTTCAGGTGAGATTTTCCTATATTAATTTTGGTATGACACTAAGCCATTACAGTTTATTGTTACAGGCTATGGACTTTCTACAGGCACGTACAGAAGGGGTGAAAAATACTCAACCCTCACCTAACCAGGTACAGTGGTATAATACAATATAAGAGCAAGAGTACACACATTGTCATACCCCACATGCAATTCAAAATATGGGAAAACAGGAATTAAGTATCTGATAGATCCAAAAAGGGTACACAGGTAAACAACTCATCACTGACAAGCTAAATACAGATTAAATATGAAGTCATTCTGTTCAGCTGTTTTATAGAAATGTGTGACTAAAAATTTAAAGTTCTTTAAACAAATTTAAAATTCAAGGTAAAAGCAAACAGTAAGAATGTAACTGACTGAACGGAAAATTGTTCACATGTTACAACTCATCACTGACAAGCTGCTTACCATATATAAAGGCCTTCTGTGCAGTATTTTCAGAAAAAAGTGTGAGATAAATATTTGTTGGACAAACAGGGAGGAATGGATTTGATTTGAATTGATTGATTGGTGTTTAATGCCACTTTCGGCACTATTGTATTTCGTGGCGGTCAGTTTTTATTGGTGGGGGAAGCCAGAGTGCCCGGAAAGAACCACTGACCTTCAGTAGGAAAACTGACAATCCTAGTCAATTAAGATTGGAGTAAAGTGCATCTACCACGTGCTGGATTGGAACTCACAACCTCAGTGTTGACAGACTTGTGATACATCAGTATGACTACTAAGACCACGAGGCCCCGGGAGGAATGGAAGGACAGACAAGGTGATTGCAATATAGCACACTTATATTGGAGTGGGGAGATACACACAATTACTTCTAAATTTACAGCATGATATATCATATTTATAAATATAATGGTAAAGAGTCTTGCATTGTTTCCTTTTACAAAGGGATCAATATCCTACCATCAGTTGCTTTTTTACTTAACTTGGATATAAATATAACATAAAACTAATTTTTGTTATTTTAGTTAATTTTATTTTAAATATTTTATCAGTAACAATTATCTTCTGTAAAAAAATCATAGAAATAGACTCTATAATTAGTTAAACGTTATCGAAACCAAGGCACTTTAAGTAACAATATCCAGTTTTACAGCAAAAGGTTTAAATTGATGAAGTACAAAATATGTTCAGGAACAGCAGCTAACCATAAAACCTAAAGGTTGTCTAGAAGTGGTCTTCAATAACAAACAAAATGTGTATGCAATATTTCAAGCTTTAAATAATCCAGAAAAGTTGTTAATAAATTTCTATTAATTTTTATTTTGGTTCATGGTAATTTGCGTTCAAATTGGAATAAATATTTCCAAAAAAAAAATAATCCTTCTTGAGTTGCTGATGTTTGATGTAAAATTACTACCATACAATATATTATATATAATTAAACGAGTCATACAAATTGGTATAATGGTTTAATGGATGATAAAGCAACAGGGAATGATGAAGAACATTAATTTAAAGAGGAATGTATATACAGAACCTTGAATCATTTATAAAACAGAATTAGCAAACGTGAGTGAGGATTAACATTTGAACTAAATCTTTTGTATGCTCTCTTTGAGTCGGCAGGAGTAAATTTCATTTGTGCATTTAATATAGGTTAGAGCTAACTAATTAAATTTTAATCTTCAAAACAAAACTTTCAAGCCACTAGAAAATTGCTGGATGATGTTATTAGTGTGTGAAAAAACAAGCTTTAGGATAGGAAAAATTCGTTGTTTCATACCTTTAATCAAAATATCAAAATAACTGATATGAACAGTGCATCCTCATTAGATTTAATATCATCCTCTAAGCCTTTGTCATGAATGTAATAAAAGTCATTATGTGGTGGAAGCAGTGTGCTAAATAAAAGTAGGAAAATAAAATAAATTTTTTTTTAAATCTTGAAAACATTGGTAATTTAAAAATTTAAAGGGAATTTTTTTTTTTTTTTTAACCTGGTACTTTTATAGCAGTGTAAATTTGGGGTGAAAAGTTTATAAAAATAAAGTTGGCTAATTAAGAAGAATGTCTAATAAAGAAGCACTTTCATATTCTGTTAAAAAACTTTCACATGTAAAAATATATTAACACTAAAAATATGACTATTATGCATATTAAAAATTATCTACAAAATATATTACAACTTTATTCTGTTTACGATCAAAGATTTAAATTATCAATATCTACTGGGTATTACCTTGTTGATATAAATCACATTCAATTAGTTTATCATATTGCACATACTAGAGATCATTATGCTAAGATCACCTTGTATTGTATTCTACTGTGAAGTCATTTATTTTCGTGGGAATCAATTTTTCGTGGATTGCGGAAAACTTGCATTTTCTAATTAGATATCTTATTTCGTGGTTTGCATACAAGCCTATTGAAAATTTGTAATTTGCTGAACATTTAAATTCGTGGTTCACCTATAACCACAAAATCCACAAAAATTAGTATCCAACGAATAATAATGAATCCACAGTATTTATAATACATGTATATATATATAAATTTCAAGCTTATCTTAAAACATCTATCTACACTCCTCCATAGATCAGACATAAGTTTTGTCATTTCAAGGATTATGTTTTTCTGAAAATATTAAATTCTACAACTACTGTACACAGTTTTGTGTGTGCATATTATTGGTCAAAATTAGAATATCAAATTTAAAGATTAGATTGACTTTAGATAATCATATAATTGTCTTTTTCATAACATCAGGGTAATAAATCTTTATGGCAAATATTCTTGTGAATGATAATTGTTGACATTTTCTGAAATTTTTCTTTGATCTTTCTGTGTGATAATTTTCTACCTCAAGCAACTTGACTGAGATGGGTTTTTTCTTAGTCGAGTAAAGTGAGAATGCAATGATGTCAGAAGTTAAGGTCATTGACATTGCCTAGGAAAATAGTGATAAACAGGTTATATATGATCTATCAAACACAAAAAATTTCTCAGCAAAATCTCATCTAAGGGCTATTGCCCTTTCATGAGAGAGATCGCAGCCAAGAAACTTTCATTTTCGAAACCATAGATTATCTATCAATATTCCTATTCAAACAAAACAGAAACTGGTAAAATAAGTTAGCATATACCAGATCTTTATCTTATTTTAAATAATACAGATTTTCTTTCTTTTTTCAATACACTTTGTCTATCACACAAAATGCTCTTAAATATTAGAAAAGTCTGTGATTTGACATACAAAATATTTGTTTTAAGATTCTTTTTTTTAAAAACTTGTATGGTTACCCAAAACCATAAACTATTTGTGATAAAAACTCTTTGCAAAACTAACTAATTACAATTAAATTTATAGTTCAATCATCTTTCAATATCAGCTTTTACTTTTTGCAAATTTAAACATGTTGTTAGAGTTTATCTATTTTCTAACTCACATTTCATCTTGGTTGTCCTAAATGGTATCTTAAAAATTACATACTTGTTTTATCTGAATTTTCTTTAAAATGTCTCATGTACTAATTATTTCTTAAAACTGTAAATAGGAAAATTTTCTAACTTATTTCATGATCACCTAAAATGGACAAAAATATCCCAAGTGCAAATCGTTTAAAGAATGTAAAAGTATTGATGAGGAGTGCCAACTAAGCATTGCTGAGTGAATTTAACTCCCAGCACAAAAAAGATTATACATTGAATTAGTCGTGATAATCAATGTGTACTGTATTCTAATGCATGATGATTACGTTTAATTTCTAAAACAAGATTTCAAAATTGACGATCACAACAATTTGAAACTGTACATGATAAGGTTTGTCAACTACCAGCCCAAGACAGAAGTAAACTTTGACTTCCTGAGCCACTTAAAACTGACCAATTTTATAAATCTGACATGTAGTAGCTAAAGTAAAACAAAAACAATCAATCAATTCTTCAACTGTAAATTCAGGTTTTTTTCATCAGGATTTTAAATTTGGGTATTTACAAATACAAATTTAATTAGAATAAAAAAATTTCTGTGTGACATGAATCATCAGTAATACAAACAATAATAAATGGCACTTTCTATGAGACAAATTGTACACAAAAATAAAACTAGCATTTACTACAAAATCTATGTAAAATTTATTATGGCAAAAGCATTTTGTAAATATCTGGCAATGTAAATGACGACGTGGAATAATCAGTCAAACTCCCTCTTTTCAAACTAAAAAGTGTGAATTTGATTTATATTCTCATCATATCATTTCATGTTAATCTGGAAAGTAAGAGTTGTCTCCCATTTAAGTAGGTTTTCAAACAATTTATTTTTTTTTATATCTGATACTTGTTTTTCAAAATTTTACTTAACACAAAGTACTTGACACTCAATACTTCTACAATATATTTTTGTTTTTCTATTTTTTTTTCAAATCTTGTAAATAACATTTTTTAATAGAGTGAATGAAAATATGTAACTCTAGTTATGCTAGCCTGTAATGTCTTTAACATTTTTGTAACTCAATAAGTGATTAATTTTTGCTGTATTTTTTACTTAAAAATATATCTGTTCAATAAAATTTTGAAAATTGAAAAATTTGCAATTAAAAAAAAAATAACAGAATGGGAGACAACTCCAGTTTGATGGCATGTAGGAATGTTTAAGTTACAAAACATTTTTTTTTAGAAAAAAATGCAAATTATTCATTTGTGTCCATATCTTTGTTCAAAATATTGAGATCTTTTTTAGCAAATGAAAGCAATGGTGAAAGATTGGATTTCATATTATTTTTTTTTCACAAGATATTTTATGTTTAAAATATTCATATATGTACTTGATTTTTTGTGTTAAATGATAAATTTGAAATATAGTATCCATTCAATTCAATACCTTTGTTACAAAAGTACTTAATACTTTATATAAATAAATAAGACTTAATAATTTTGATAAAAATCTTGTAAATTAAAAGTAAATTTCTTATATCAGGAAATATTACTACAAGGAGCCAATTTTTTCGGTTTTGGTGTCCGCAAAACTCTAGATAAAACATGATCTTGATCGTGATTTAATTTTTTAAGAAATACAAGATAATTACTCATGATTTCATATGTGCAACTGTAAAACAATGACTCTAAAAACAGCAAATTAGTCCCATTAAACAAACCACAAACAACTGGCATCAATGTATAAAAACACTTGTATGGTATAAATAAATATCTTAGGCCAAACAAAAAAGTGTCATTAGGGTTTCAGACTTTTAAAGAACAGAGAAGCTAGATGAAAAATTTATAGCTTTTATTAAATGGTTTATTTACCTAGAATATATGAATTTAGGACTTTTGTTGTGATTTTAACAACTGAATATCCTAAGTATGAATTAAAAATACTAGGTCAAGCTTGAAACATTTCCTCATGTAATTACAGATGAGAAGATTTTCAAAAAATTGTCAATTAGAATCAAAATTGCCTTTTGAGGTCAAGTTTTTTATACAATCTGAACCAACTGCAGATTATTTGTAAAGGAGCTTCCATCTATCATGATAATGGGTATGCACAGAAACCCTAAACACACATTATTTTATTTATTTTGGCCTTAAAGTATTATATACTAGGTGAACCAGCACCGTAGCCAATATTTATAAACTTTCATATATGTTAAAAACTATCATTTTATTCATATATCAGAAATATATAATAAATAAGTTATCACTCTATGTGATGAAACAAATCTAATAAATCACTACAAAAATATAGCAACACAATATATAAAGTGGAAATAATAAAAAAAAAAAAAAAATCCGGAATGGTATGGCATTGGGGCTATTTTACTTAGGCCTGATCTGGAATCCAATGTGTGAGGGGAAGGGGTCATGAGGTACTTTTTTTTTAAAACCCCAGTCTCCCATAAAATAATTTTTTATCTAAAATTATGATTCATAAAACAGTTGTCAAAAAACACAACCACCCAATAAATTTAAATACTTCTTTACACGTTCATTTTTTAGTAGTAGTACACACCATTTTCTACATTAGACATTTTGTATTTTATTCTATTTGAGAGTCTTAAAAAAACAGGTGCTCCCCTATCCTCAAATAACATTTGAATAGAATAGCCCTTACATGTGATTTTTCATAAACAGGTCTACAGATTTGACTTCAAGCAAAATAGGAGGCTGCATTATCCCCCTATCATAAACCTAGATTTCTTGCACTATGTAAATATACATGTATGCTGTAGAAGAAATATACCATATTCTATAAAACTATGTCACAAGATCAACAGAAAAAATTACATTTTCATCATAAATAACAATAATAAAATTATTTTTGTAATAAAACAATAACAATGGAATGTCTTCATATAAATAATCACCAGATTTTGCGTGAACACATATTTGGTTTGCAAATCAACAATAAACTTCAAACTGAGGCTGGAATATAAAATTGCAATTCAATCACATGATTTGTGTGGCACTTGTTTTCAGTGGGCTCTCATGTGGAACCACCAATTTACTGTAGTTGACCAACTGTTATCTTGAGCTTCTTTGAATTTTTTCCTGAACTTCTCTAAAGCCTCATCCTGTGTAGAGTTCAAAGCAAGAACTTCTTTAATGTAATCAATATCTGAGACATTATTTAGCTGAGGTATTCCTGAGGAAAGCATCATCATAAACAACTGAATCAGTAGTGGTGCTCTGCTACGAATGATTAAGTAAGCCCTCTCACAAATTTCTTTAAAACTGAAAGTATAAAAAGTATTACTAATTACAAATATCTATAGAACATGATAACTTTACTTAGTAAGAATAATAATTTAAACCGAATATTATTATAATTTACATATATAATAAACAATTCTATTGAGTAATACATTATCACATGACAGGAAATAATTTTGATAATTTTCATTTGAATGCAATAAATGAGGACTTACTCTATTCTACACCAATGATTAACCTTGTGAGCTTCTTGATTGATACACAATTTACCTCCCATCATAATAACATCACTGGCTGTTGTAAACAAAATGTCAACTGCCAGGTTTGGAAATTCATTTAATGTCATCAATAGCCAGGTTTGGAAATAAGATATCGATTATAACACAATGTTGACTGCTGTATCCCTATTTTTGACATTTTTACCTATTATGTCTGTTTGTTTTGTTCACACATTGTTGTCAATATAATGGAATTGTATGCGACTGTCATACATTACAAGTGAGAGGTTTAGCTAGCTCTAAAACCAAGTTTATTCCACCATTTTCTACATAAGGGAATGCCTGTACCAAGTCAGGAATATGACAGTTGTTTCCCATTCGTTTGATGTGTTTGAGCTTTTGATTTTGCCATTTGATAAGGGACTTTCCGTTTTGAATTTTCCTTGGAGTTTCGCATATAGTTATCTTACTTTTTAGTAAAACATTTTAACAAAAAAATAAAAGTGTGAACATATTTACATGAGAACAACATGGTAAAAAAAGTTTGTAACACGCCATGAAACATGGTTCAAATTGGATTATCTCCCTTTTATCTGCATAAATATCAATTAAAAAGTAACATTACAAATTTATTATATTTATGTGAGATACACCAGAATATACTCTTTTAGTTGAATATTAATTATGTTGCATGTGTGTTTTTCTCTTCTATGCATTGTGAATTTTAAACTAAACATTGCATTATGCCAAGCAATTAGAAACATGACTAGACTATATTCTGAATGAAGTTATCTCCCTTTTTTAGTGAAAATAAAGTGCATATTTTGATAAAATGGTAATACCTAAATACATAATTTTATAAATTGAATAATTGAGTACTGTAAAAAGTTATGTATAATCCGTATTTATGTATAACACCCATACCCTTTTACACCACGGAAAATTAGGAGGTGAAAGTCCTGTAATTCGGTTTCAAGTCACATTTTGTTTAACTAAACTGCAACATACATACATACAATAAAATCTTCCATTTACAAACATACAATAGAATTTAATATTTATAAACTTACTCATGGAAATTTTGTGGCTTTTTTTCACCATCCTTTATGACATATTCAAAATGGCTAGTTAGAATAAATGGTACTCGTTCTCTGCGAATGTTAAACTTTGTTTTCTTATTTCCAAGAAAATGTCCAAAGTCTATATGGAACAACTGAAATATCAAATATTAATGAAGATAAATCTTATAATTTTTGTATAGCAAGTGAAACTAACATTAAGAATGTACTTAGATAAAATTTAAAAACTCTAGAATTTAAAATTGATACTATAAGTCAGAAGAACATTAGTTAAGGAATAAAATAAGCTAAAAATGTTGAGATATTTGATATTCTGAATAAGGCGGGAAAAGGCTGACTCAGACTTTTACCTTATATTTAGCATTTGCATTATTTGGGTCTCAAATCATAAGAAAACAAATCTTGAATCTGCTTAAAATTTTGGTAATGACCTTTTTATGAGCTATACTGAAGTCTTCTATGAAAAGAAAAGTGGGTAATATGGGGCAAAATATTTTACCCTGTATCATTGGAAAAAACCCAAGGAGTCTGAACATCTGACAAAATTCATAAACCTGATCTGAGTACATCCTTAAATCAGGTTAGATTTTTATCAATTATTCATTAGTTCATCTAATTATAACATTTTGACACAGTATAAATTTGGAACAATTACCTATTTCAGAATATCTTGTTTTCAAAAATTTTTTTTTAAAAGAATACACCAATCAAAATGCCTGTAATCACTTATAGAAGACAGGATTATAAGCAATATTGTCTAACTTAGGGTTGCTTTTTAAAACACAATTCTTATTAGGTAATTTGAGAAAAGGATCTGTGAATGCAGAAAATGATAAAATTCAAACTTTAATATCTAAAACACTAATAATTAGAACACTATGAGTTTTATAACATTTAGTACCTTAATCTATACCATAGAAACAACAATTATTGTAACATTCCTATAACAGGAACATATTTTGCTTACTGTGGATTCATCACGTATATGTTGGATATCAATTTTAGTGGATTTTGTGGTACAATGTAAACCATGAATTTAAATGTTCAAGAAATAAAAATTTTCTATATTCTTGTATGGAGACATTTGCAAAACCATGAAATCAAATATCCACGAAAATTGGTATCCTTAAGATTTGTATAAAATAAATAAACAAAGAATATTTGTCCATAGGACACCATGCTCAGCCTGCACTATCACATTGCCATGTTCAGCAAGCCATGCAATAAGGGTCAAAATCATAATGTGGCATGAAATTTTAAAACTTAAAATCATGATGAACATGTGTACTATGTTTCAAGTGGTGTGACCACAACATCATAGTAAACTACCTTGACTAAAATCTTTAACCACAGAATGTACTTCATTCACAATATCACATTCCCATGTTCAGTGAACTATGAAATCAGGGCCAAAACCAAAATTTGGTATATAATTTTAAAAGTTCACATCATAATGAACAGGTGTCCTTAGTTTTAAGTTGATATGGCTAGAACTTCACAATAAACTACCTTGACCAAAAAACTTGAACCCTGAAATAAGATGGACAAAGGAACAGACAGAATATCAGGCCAGAAAACATAATGCCACTCTACTGTTGTTGCCAGGGCATAATAAACGGCAAATAATTTACAACGATTTCATGTCAATTATTGTTCTTGGCATATTCCTTTTAAATTGTTTATGAATTAAACTGTTAACACAGAGATGTCTCGCCTTTTTGTAATTTTGATAATGCAAATGTTGAAATTAAAATAGCAATACTTTAAAATGTAAGTTATGCAAATATTCAAAGTCAATGAACCATGACTGAAGGTACATGGCTAAATAATTTCCATGGAAATGAGATGTGCCAATGCTAATACAACTGCATACCAAATACCATTGACATATCATAAGTTGTTCCCTTTTAACAAACATTAACTTGTAAACTATGTAAAAGTTACAAAATCAATGAACCAGGGATGAGGGGGTGGGGCTATATAATCTCCATGGAAACGAGACTTCCAAATGCCAATACATTTGCATACCAAATATCATGGACTTAACATTAGTGGTTTATCTTAAACTGATCTAATCTACATGTAAACTAAGCAAGTTTTAAAGTCAAAAGACCATGACTGAGGGGGCGGGGCCAAATATTCTCCATGGAAATGAGATGTGCTAATGTTTATACAACTGCATACCAATTAACATTGGCCTACCACTAATGGTTCCTCTTAAACTGACCTAATCACAAACTAATACATGTAAACTAAGCAAAAGTTTAAAGTCAATAGACCATGACTGAGGGGGCAGGGCCAAATAATCTCCATGGAAATAAGATGTGCTAATGCTAATACAACTGCATACCAAATATCATTGACCTACCACTAGCGGTTTACCATAAACTAGACCTTATCACAAACTAATACATTGTTGACGCTGCCGCCGATGCTGGAAACAGCATACCTATGTCTCACTTTTTGACTCCATCAAGGCGAGACAATAAAAATGAAAGATCAGAAATTCTTTATTCATTGAACTTCTGAGTTGAATGAGGTTTGAGCATCTCTGAATTTCTGATGAGACTTGAGACAGGGAAGTCAAAGCAGATGTCTCCTCTGCTATTTTAACATTGGCATCTTTGACGACTTTTTAGAGGTCAGACTTTCTTATATATTTGTACAGTTCCATTGTGCATTGTGTTTATAGGTCCTTCACTGATCCTTCACTGATTGGTGATACAGAACACATGTAGGCTTGACTTCAGAAGTTCAGAAGTTCAGATGTTGCTGTTCAAGTAAGTTGTCCTGGGATAAGTTTAAATGTCAGGAAATGGTCAAAATACAGAACTTTACATCATTTATCATACAGCTTCCAAGGGCCTTCAGTAAACCCCATACCTGCTTCATTAAACCATTTTTGGAAAGTGGACAGGGTTACTTTGCAACCCTGTTAGTCTATTCAAATATATGAGTACACTTCATTTACTGTTAACTATGCCACTATTCAGCTTCCTATTATAAGGAACACCCCTTAACGGTCTCTTGATATACTGTTAACTATTCCACTGGGATACTCTCTTGGGTACTACAGACAAGATTTGGGAAAATTAAAATTCTACTGTAGATTGCCAATTGAATCTTTCTGATAATACCTTTTCTTAAAGTTGTTATCTGTCATTAAGTTTTTGTAAATTGTTTTGTAATAAATTAGACTGTTAGCAGGGCTTCCACAACGGTCGTATTTCCCAGACTTGTCTGGTAAATTATATAAATGACTTGTTGTGCCGATGCTGAAACGGACATTTTAACATAGTTCAGAAAAAAAAATTGAAGTTTATGCGATCTTTTTGACCTGACCTTTTGCCTTAAACAGCCACACATTTCCGGTCATATAAGTGACATGATGAATAATTACTATCAAAACAAACCCTACTGTAATACCCTCTCATTACAATCAAGGTAAATTAGTTCTCTGACAGCTAAAATTTACCTGTTCAGCCGACATGTAAACTATTTTGTACCGGACATTGATCAGTCTAATCAAAGTTATTTTCTTAAATTTCAGGGGTTTGCATCTAATTAAATTAGTCATCAAGATTTAGATTATCAGAAAACGTAAATAAATATGATTTGATGAAAATTTAACAAGGTAGTAATAAAGTCTTTAAGGTAAAATCGTCAGAACCACGTTGTTTGAACTAGTACTCGTGTGCGCATGTGTGAGATTTAACTATGCATCTGAATTTTCAAAAAAAGCTAAAAATATCATTGATACCTTTATCTAACGTTCATTTCGAGTATTTTCCAGAAGAAATAACACGGAAAGAGCTACTTTAAACTCAATTGTGCTTTGTAATTGTACATGGATTTTACGTATCCGTCTCTGGTCCGTGTTTTACCATTGTCAAGTCAACATCTGGTATTAGGAAAATGCACTTTTTAAAAACGAAAGTGAAGTTATTGACAGCATAATTTTGCACAAATAAAAGGTCTAAGGCAGATATTAGTATGATGATGTTGCACACTTCGAATGGTGCACTGTCAATTTAACAGTGAATGCCAAAACATCGAATTTATATAAAAGATAAAGTTAAATATCGTTTTTGTGTCAATCATAATTTATATGATGCCCAACTGATAACTATGGTTGCCTTTAATCATTTAGTCTTAAGGGATTAAAATCGGCATAAAATAAAAAAAAAAAAGTGTCCGGCTGGCTAAAATATTTTATGGAAGCCCTGACTGTTAGTTTTCTTATTTGAACTGTTTTAAATTTTTCTTGTTGGGGGCTTTTATAGCCGACTATACGGTATGGTTTTTTTCCATTGTTGATGACCTATAATTGCTTTAATCCTCTTTGTTTAAACTTTGGTGGATAGTTGTCTCATTAGCAATCATACCATGTCTTATTATTTTTATATTAACAAGCTTGCAAAATTTTATAAAAAAGATTTTCTGACTACCTGTCCAGTCTCTTTCATCATTATGTTGTCATTATGTCTGTCACCTACTCCTAAGATGTAGGTAGCCACAGCATATCCAGCACAGGACAGCTTAAATTCTTCAACTGCTCTTTGTAAACTGAAAATAAGTCAAATCATCATCAGATGTTTTGCTTAACTTGCTAAAATAGATACCATGTACAAAATTTGAAATAACCAGGAATTAATTATCTACTTGTGTTTTAACATCATTTTGCCATATTTTGTTTTGAATAGCATTCATAATGCCATATTTTCCTTATATAAAATAAATAATAGTTTATAGGATTTTTTTTGTAATTAAGATTATTTTCAAGGTCTGTTTGATTCATAGATTAAATAAATATATATGTCATCAATTTACAATTATAAGAATGATTTATTTGTAGAAGAAATCAGACAAGAATTAGTTCTTTCTGGTGGCTCCCTTGTTTCACTTTTCGATTTTGACATCTTTTTCTATTTAATGACTGAACATTCTGAGCACATGCACACCCCATCTCCTAATAAGGGTCAAATAAAAGGTTGCATGCATCAATTCAGACCAAAATGAGGTAGGTGAATTATTGTCTATGCAAGACAATAGTATATCAGTAATGTTTTTGCACAACAAAATGGAACAATACTGGCTGCTAATAACCAATTATTATTATAATATTCTGCTTTTATAAATGTTTGAAACCAAAAAAAAAATCTTATTTTTATCTTAATTGTAGCTGATGTCCTTTTTTAAACAACCATGAATCAATCAATTATTTTATGATTCATGCCTTTGTTTTTGGAAGAGGGGTCTACCAGCATATTTCTAGACATTTCTGCCTTTGTCCATTTGACATTATAATTTTTAGCCAATACTACTGCCAAACTTTAAACAACATTTGTACCTGTGTTCACTTGGATTTTTATGTTTTAACCAATCATAAAGTGAATTCTTATCCAGTCCTTGTTTTCTCCATTTTTGTATTCCGGCAAGTGTTAAAGATTTCTGTACAACTTCAATCATACCCTCTTCACATCCAGTGGCAACACATCCATATGGGTTTAATCTGAAATAGAATATGGTACTTGAATGTTGCCCATTAAAATAATAATAGTTTTTTTATCAATCACAAGAAGAAAAAGTTATTTTATCTTAAAGTTTGTCACCCGTCACAAAAAATTTCCTGTTTCCTGTAAAATGTTGGGTTTATTTTCCCCATCACAAGAAGAAATATTTGATTTAATTGTCAGTATGAAATGTTTTAATGTGTTAGAAAATCAATGAGGATAAAACTAAAGGTCAGTAGTAATAAATTAGGCCATTAATTTTCTCGTTAGAATTGTTTTACATTTGTCATTTTGGGGCCTTTTATAGCTTACTATGTGGTATGGATTTTGCTCATTGTTGACTTGTCAGGTCAGACAATGTTTAATGTGCCCACTTAGGGTGATAAGTTTTCCTAAAGATTAATAACTTGTTAAATAGCATAAGAAAATCTGGCGCCAAGACTTAGATTTTTATTTTTAGCAAATATTGTACTGTCAAATTAAATATTTTGTATGAAGCAAGAAAACAAGAAGTCAGAACTAATGTCTTTCTCTCTTTAATTTTTTTAAAGTTTCCAAAGAATGCATTATGTCTAAAATTGTGTTTCAAAATTCATTGTCATTTTCTTTTTCTTTACACAGTTCTGATTTTCCTGATATAATTCTTGCACACCTTTTAGCTTTTTGGACATTTGTTATCAAGATAAAAGTTGAAACTGTATTGACTCCCCTTAAAAACATGCTAAGTGAGATAAAATATCCAATTATAAGTTTTGAATAGCATCCAGGGGTGTGGAAATACTATGCCCAACTTGGGCCCCACTTGATCAGCTTGTCCAGACAAGAGAATAGTGAACAAACTATTTGTCCCTGACAAGAAATTTCTGTATGAGCCCAATTTAACCAGTAGGGACGTCAAAACATTTCCTGGACAAGTAGATTTTTGTATAGAACTTGGCCTTGTACAAGTGAAGAATTTTGATATTTCCACACCACTGTGTATGATATGAATTATTAGTGTAATGAGAGGTTTCATCATACCTGAGATCATAGCCTTCTGATTGCCATATAGTATCCATGACTTCTAAAATCTGTAATGTCAGCATATCTTGCCGTAAATCTTTAAAAAAAATAAAAATCTATTAAGTTAGATTAGAATAATTATTGCATAAATGTAAGGTTTTGAGGCTCTACAGTTAATACATTGTATAATCACCCACCTTTTCTTTATAAGATACAGTCAAACCTGCCTTAGCAGACACCTCATTACAGCTGTCACATGTCTCTAATGGTCACTTTCAGACCCTTCCAAACGTTTTCTCTATATAATTTAACTCCTTTCAGCGTTCACCTAAATTTCTCATGAAATCGTCATTTCAACCTTTAACAACAGCCATTTTCATCTTTTTAACAACCAAAATATAATCATGATGAAAAATATATATGTTCAGTATCAAGGTCAAAATGAGAATGGTAGCATGTTTGCAACAGAGATCTATCAATAAGAGGTGAATTTGTGAATTTCTCCTGTTTCACTTCATTCAGTTTAGATTGAAAACCATATCATCGATTTTCTCTACCAATATTAACTATTTCAAATATTTTCTTAAAATTTAGAGCGTCAGAATCAGCCATTTTTTATTTTTCTGCTCACACAAACGATAACTCTACCAATTGAAAACACTAAAACAATTTGCCCTGATCCTGACCATGTTTAATGTCTGAATCATATTTTTTCAGAACCTTATTAAAAAGGCCACCTTTCTTGAGCAGTCACTTTTGATACTTCCCATGAGTGACTGCTTAATACAGGTTTGACTGTAGTCATATACACATAATACAATAAACAAGAATGTGTCCATAGTACACGGATGCCCCACTTGCACTATCATTTTCTATGTTCAGTGGACAGTGAAATTGGGGTCAGAACTCTAATTTGGCATTAAAATTAGAAATATCATATCATAGGGAACATGTGTTCTAAGTTTCAAGTTGATTGGACTTCAACTTCATCAAAAACTACCTTGACCAAAAACTTTAACCTGAAGCGGGACAGACAGACGGACAGACGGACAGACGAACGAACGGACTCACAGACCAGAAAACATAATGCCCTTTCTACTATCGTAGGTGGGGCATAAAAATGTAAATTACACACCTGTCAAAACTAAACTTTGCAAAGACATTCAATGTCTATTCTACAATAATATTTGTTTTGCCCCCTTCCCCTAAACAAATCCTATTTGATTACATGAATGTCATAAAAAATAGACCTTATCAGGTTCAGTTCCAGGGTTCTGGGAAAGGGGCGTAATTGTAAAAATAGTGAATTTATGCTAAAAAATTATATTACCCTCCACTCCCCCTCCCACCTCACCTACTGAATCTGCTATTGCTTTAATCTATACTACATAGTGTAACAGTTAACATTCTCACCATCTCCACATTTATAAATCAACTGTATGTTTTGTCCTTTTTCATCAGCATTTGTCCATTCCAGCCAAAATGGCTTCTTTTTAGAGTCCATTACTTTACAGGATTTCTCGCTATAAATAAATAAATAAAATCTTGTATACTGACTTACTCTATTTCAAATATTAATTTCCATTTAATAAGCTTACAACATTAATAACAATGGACTTTGGACTGCTTTTCTCTGAGCTGTCAAAAGCAGTATGAAATTGCCCTAGTCCTGTATCAATTGCCCATCATCATTAGTACTCTCTGTTTTGAGTAAACAATGATTTTTCTTATTGAGAACAAAGAGAAATTGTACAAGACTGATTATATATTCTTTTTAAACCAACAATCCTGTTTAATTATCATCATTGTTACACATTGGAACATCAAACAATTCCAATTTTCTTTGAAATAAATTTGGCACTTCAGTAAAACCTGTTTAAAATGAACCTTAAATAATGTTTGACAAATCACAACTTCATCTTGTCTAATACAAAAAGAGAAATCAATTTTTCATTTTCCATTCATATAAGAACATCTTTGCATGTACATGCTTAAACAATTTTGTCTAATTTATACATTAAGGTGATAGGACTATATATATTACAGAATGCCTCTTTGTATGTATGTACTTACACAATTTTGTCTAATTTATACATTAAGGTGATAGGACTACATATTTTACATAACTCCTCTTTGTTTATATGTACTTACACAATTTTGTCTAATTTATACATTGAGGTGATAGGACTATATATTTTACAGAATGCCTCTTTGTTTATATGTACTTACACAATTTTGTCTAATTTATACATTGAGGTGATATGACTATATATATTACAGAATGCCTCTTTGTATGTATGTACTTACACAATTTTGTCTAATTTATACATTAAGGTGATAGGACTATATATATTACAGAATGCCTCTTTGTATGTATGTACTAACACAATTTTGTCTAATTTATACATTGAGGTGATATGACTATATATATTACAGAATGCCTCTTTGTATGTATGTATGTACTTACACAATTTTGTCTAATTTATACATTAAGGTGATAGGACTATATATATTACAGAACGCCTCTTTGTATGCTCCCATCTGCATAACTTTCTGTAATGGAGAGTCATCTTTTTCTTTACCCTTTTTCTTCAAATTCTAAAAAACAAAACAACACTATGAATAAAGGTTTATTTTATTCCGCTCACATAGAGATCATGTGATGTATCAGTTGACAGTGCCAGCTCTTATTTATTATGCATGCAGCAGTTGGAGCGGAAAGAGTTCCATATGGCACCCCCACGGAATAAACTGTAATACATTATTGTGTTCTTTTAGTATGGTGGGGGTGCCATATGGAACTCTTACCCATAAAAATATTACTGTTGACATCCTTGGCTTTCAAATAGTTGGCATTGAGAGTTAATTATGAAGGTTAATCCAGAAAGGCATTTGGGACGCAAGAAATTTATAAAGTTTTGTTTTCATTTTTTTGACACAGAGATATGTCTCGCCTTTTTGTAAATTGATAGTATAATGCAAATAATGAAATTAAAATAGCAATATTTAAACATGTGAACTATGCAAAACATTCAAAGTCAATGAACCATAACTGAATGTGCAGCGCCAAATAACCTCAATGGAAATGAGAAATGCCAATGCATTTAAAACTGCATACCAATATACTATTGACTAATTATAAGTGGTTCCCTTTAAACTAAACTAAACACAAACTACTTTAGGGTATTCAAAAGTTTCAAAGTCAATGAACTATGATGAGGGGGCAAGTCATATAATCTACATATAAATGAGATGTTCCATTGACAATACAACTACATACCAAATATCACTGGCCTAACACCAGTGGTTCTGTATAAACTAATACATTATTGACGCCGCCACCACAAGAAACAGCTCAGATTGGTCTCATTTTTTTTTTAATTTGTTGAGGCAACACAAAAACAGGAAATAATAACTGTATATTAAGAGGAAAGACTGTAAGAAGTAACAAAATTTTGAACCTTTGGCAGGGGTAACCAGACAATATACACAACCTCTTTCCAGCAGAAACAATCTTGATTTCTTTTATTACAAACTAGACAAAAGTACATCCTCCACAAAGCCTTTGCACTGAATTTTAATAAGTGAATGGTATTTTGCTCTATCTGCAGCATGCACAATAAATAAAAGCTGGCACTGTCAACTGATACATCCCAAACAGCACTGTGCTGAGAGAAAATTGTTTGATTTCAAGCTTAAGGTGGATCACTGCAATATATTTCCTCAGATAGAATTTTCTTATACTTTGCCAGAATGTAGATTTTTTTTAAAAATATAATAAAAAGTGTGAGTCACCGTGCTATTTTTCAAGCTATAAGTCGTGCAAAATTGCCCAAATTTGCATAGATTATTCATTAAGACACTTTATTCATGAAAAGACACTTTATTGTGAATAAAAAGACATCTATGAGATAGAACTTTGAAATAAAATATGAGAAGATAGGTTTTAAAATATGCTTTAAGAAAATAAAAAGGAAAAATGATGTCACCGACCTTGTTTTCTTGCTACAAGTATAAAATTGATAATTTCTATAGGGGTACATTCAGTAAATAAATATACGTTATCAGGGACCGCCCATTTGGGGAGAGCTTATTGTTGCAAAAGATGAAATAAAATTGAGAATGGAAATGGGGAATGTGTCAAAGAGACAACAACCCGACCATAGAACAGACAACAGCAGAAGGTCACTAACAGGTCTTCAATGCAGCGAGAAATTCCCGCACCCGGAGGCGTCCTTCAGCTGGCCCCTAAACAAATATATATACTAGTTCAGTGATAATGAACGCCATACTAAACTCCAAATTGTACACAAGAAACTAAAATTAAAAATAATACAAGACTAACAAAGGCTAGAGGCTCCTGACTTGGGACAGGCGCAAAAATGCGGCGGGGTTAAACATGTTTATGAGATCTCAACCCTCCCCCAATACCTCTAGCCAATGTAGAAAAGTAAACGCATAACAATACGCACATTAAAATTCAGTTCAAGAGAAGTCCGAGTCTGATGTCAGAAGATGTAACCAAAGAAAATAAACAAAATGACAATAATACATAAATAACAACAGACTACTAGCAGTTAACTGACATGCCAGCTCCAGACTTCAATTAAACTGATTGAAAGATTATGTCTTCATCATATGAATATCAGGCAAAATCCTTCCCGTTAGGGGTTAAGTATCATACCATCATAACATATATGAGAAGAACATAACCCGTGTCATGCCAACAACTGGTTTTTAAATAAATGTGTTTAGTGCCGATGCAAAGACCCTATAAGTGAATCAATATTAACGCCAAAATATGCAATCTTTAATGACCTGACAACAGTATCGTAACTATATCCCTTCTTAATAAGTCTATTTAAAGGTTTTGTTAGCTTCAGAGGTGAATACTGACATTTTTGTGCTTTATAAAGAATATTTCCATAAAAAATTGGATGTGAAATACCTGAACGTATAAGAAGTCTGCATGTTGAGCTATTTTTACGAATGATGTCCTTATACCGATGATAAAATTTAGTAAATGTTTTGACTAGTTTGTGATATCGAAAACCCTGGTGTAATAATTTTTCAGTAATACATAAATGTCTCTCGTTAAAATCTAAAACATTGTTACATACACGAGCGAATCGAGGCTACATTTGTACTTTAATGAATGATATATGAAAGCTTCTGATTTCTAAAGGTAAATCAGGTATAAATTAATTCAAGACATAGATTTGCATTAAAGTCAATGGGAGATTTTTTACTGAATTTACCCCTCTATCATATCTTTATAAAAATTTTACTCTTTGGGTTATCTATCCTTAAATGGCTAAGTTGACAACTTGATTCTAACAAACAAAAATATGTGGTATTTGATAAATCAGTCTGTATAATGCAATAAATCACTTATTTTTGTTTATTGCAATGAACAGTCTAATCCATTAAACGCCAATCCGTCTAAAAAATTTGCAGGTTCAAGAAAAGAACTAGACCTATTGTGAACTTCCATTTTACAATCCAAGATGGCAGTATACAGTTTATCTACCTTAAGGTGGTACCCAACACCTTGACTAATATTAATTTGGCTCGTTTAATTTTCCTAAAATTTTGACAAAATGTTTACTTTGACCCTTTGACAAAAATATAAAAATTTCGAATAATTTGAACCAACCACTTTATCAGAAAAATTTCACTGGTTATATAGCAGTTTGACAAACACTAATTTTGATCATTGAGAAGCTTAATATTTCCTTAACAATACAATGTGATTAAAACGTTTAGCTGATTTTTACAGAGTTATCTCCCTGTAGTGTTAGGTACCACCTTAAGGGTTGAAATGCTAGTATATTTGAAGGTAAAAACTGTTTTTTTTTTTATTTTCTAAGCTGTAAGATGAGCTGCCAGTCCATTTAACAGTGCACTGTTTATGCAATATTTTTAAAAGTGACTTAGTTCCACAACCATCATTTAGTTACAATTTGCTAAAATCTAGATCTTGAAAAAACATACCTTCAGAAAGTGCATTTCCATTTTGCAAAATATAAACAATCTAGTCAAAACATTACAAGAGAAGATGAGCAGAAAAACAGTGTACCATATATTAAAAATAAAGGGAGAATGTGTCCATGGGACACAGATGATACTTGCATATAGGGGTAAAGTCAGTAAATAAATATATGTCATCAGGGACCGCCCATTTGGGGGAGAGCTTTCTGTATAATACTGAAGTCCTGTGCTCTTCTGATTGGTAGACAATGTTTGTAATAAATATTTTTTGATAGATGGACCAAAACTAGACTCTAAATAAAAAAATGAATGCTTCAAATGCACTTAATTTTTTTACTACAGGGTTGAAAAGTAATGGGGTCAATATAGGAATTAAGTGCGAATCTACAGTGTTTGTAAACAAGGCCATGTGAATGCCCAAAAATGCCGCATGACCCTATGTTTTGATTGTTGCAAAAGATGAGGCTACATTTGTACTTTAATGAATGATATATGAAAGCTTCTGATTTCTAAAGGTAAATCAGGTATAAATTTAATTCAAGACATACATTGACATAGATTTGCATTAAAGTCAATGGGAGAATTTTTACTGAATTTACCCCTATAAAGTTATAAAGGGACATAACTCAAGAACAGTAAAAGTGACGCAACCCAAATTCAAACTTGATATGAGTGTTGTGGTAATATGCATAGTGTATAACTTAAGTTAGAGAATGGAAACTCATTTTGGGACGTACCTACTGATGGAAAAGGGTACCACAAAATGCCCCCTCCTCTGCAGCGCAGACACAAAAACTAGACAACATTATCATTAAATTTTAAATAAAATATTGTCTAAACTGATTAAATCTAACTACCCATCATTTTCTGTATAGATCATGAAAATCTGATCCTGATAAAATGTAATTCCTTTCACATGTACTTAAAACCGCAATCAAGATAAGCATACAAACTGTACAGTGCATGGCATATTCAACTATCCCAGTAACAATAATTTTATGAAAAACATAATATTAAAACTCTTAGCACACTGTGTGTATGTGTGAAACATTTTGCAAAATCAAAACTGTCTACCTACAAGCCATGTACTCTGTTGTAATTTCTGCTTCTTAGCAAATGTCTAGTCAAAATGCAAAGAAATACAAATAATACTCATAAAAATTTAAACAACATGGAATAAGTAACTATGACCATCAGTTCTGATGTCTGCTTTCTCTAAGTATTGGTAGCATTATTATATAATCCATAGTAGTAAATGAACTTGACCTGTCTCTGATATTTATAAAAAAAAATCCAGAAGTAAACATTTTGAGCAGGGAAAAATAAATAACGTAAAGCACTAACTGAAAACATAGGAGTCCTCATCTCGTATTGCATATTCTAATAAACTATAGTGGATAAACCCATCAGGTATATCAATTCTACCAGTTAAGCACTTATAAATGTACACTTTTGGGTAAAAGCTTAGAATATAAACTCAACTGTAATGTTTTAAACAATACTTGACAAAGTTGCCCCATTTTTTATGTTAACATTAGTTACATGTGACTAAATCATGATTTGTTTGTGATACTTACTGCTGCTTTGGTATGTATATCTGTGATAGATTTGAGTTTTTGTAAGATGTCTTGTTGCCTTTCTAAGATGAACATATGACTGTCATGTGACTAAATCATGTGATACCTACTGCTGCTTTGGTATGTATATCTGTGATAGATTTGAGTTTGTCATGTGACTAAATCATGTGATACTTACTGCTGCTTTGGTATGTATATCTGTGATAGATTTGAGTTTTTGTAAGATGATCTGCTGCCTATCTAAGATGGACACATGACTGTCATGTGACTAAATCATGTGATACTTACTGCTGCTTTGGTATGTATATCTGTGATAGATTTGAGTTTTTGTAAGATGACTTGTTGCCTATCTAAGATGGACATATGACTGTCATGTGACTAAATCATGTGATACTTACTGCTGCTTTAGTATGTATATCTGTGATAGATTTGAGTTTTTGTAAGATGATCTGCTGCCTATCTAAGATGGACATATGACTGGGGTTTGCCTTGAGATATATTTCAATGATTAAACCATACTGGACGGTAACAGATGGGTCATGCATGTCTGACCTGAAAAAGAGAACACAAGATTTAGTCAAAGTTGGTGGTTTATTCAAAGTATTTTGGTTTCTCAATCAGTAAAACTGGCCACTGTGAAATTGTGGAGAATATATATATATGACAAGTCTTCTTTTTTTTGCAATTTGAGTTCAAAATTTAAATTAAAGTGACACCACCAAAATTCAAACTGGATCTGTGTTTTGTGGTAATAAGCATTGTGTATAAGTTTCATACCATTTGGTTGTGGCAAACTCAAGTTAGAGAATGGAAACCAATTTTGGGACGTATCGACGTATGGACGGACATACGTACAGACGGACAAGGGTAAAACTTAATGCCCCCTCCGCTACGGCAGGGGCATAAAAAGTATTATAAATCTATCAGGTAACATGAAGGGTATTCACAGGAAAAATCAGCATTCATTTTTTTTAAATTTGTCTTTCATTTTTAGTTTAGGGCTTGCATCTATTTCAAACTTTAAAAACTGCCAAAAAAATATCATTTTTAGATCTTGTCATTAATATTAAAGCCCTATCCAAAAAGAGAGTTTGCTACAACATGTCCGATACAAAGGGTTGATATTTGTAAACATTTTTAAATAAAGCTGTGACCCCTATCAATCAAGAAAATGAAGTTAGTTATAACACTGTACAACAGTGTCCTTCATCAATTACTGTGTGCTGCCATAAATATTCATCACTTACGATTTTTCACTATATATTTCATATAAAACTAAATTTTAAATTTTTGTTTATTATGAAGTCATCTCTGGTTTGAATTTAGGCATCTTGGTACCAATAGAAGCAGAATTGTCACGTTTATTTGCTTATTTGATTGTGTTTTTGTTGTGGAGCATTTCCATGTTTTGATGTTATAAACACAAGTATTATTTTTGGTTAGGACATTTGCTATATATTTCAACCAAATTAAATTGTACAAAAAATTATACGTGTTCACATCAGGAGAAAACAAAAACAACTGAGGACAAAACTATGACCAAATAAACAAATTTTATTTACACAATTCTGTGTCTTTCAACATGGTATGTAAATATCCTAAATATTTTTTTGAAAAAATGTGTTTTATATGAAAATATTAGCAAAAAGATTTATGTGACAAATACTTTTGGCCATGTACTGTATATGCCCAGTATATTTCATGCACAATTTGATAACATTTGTAGTGTAAATTGTGTAAACTCACTTGAGCAACCAAAATAATTTATGTCCTATATTACGATTCTGAAGTGCTCTCCGTAACAGGAATTTGACTAGATCACAATTTAAATAGTTCTCATACTTCAAAGCCTGTACCAACTGAAGCAAATACTGAGCCAATTCTTCGTCACTGAAAGATACAAAAACAAGAAGATTATTTTAAGCATCAACAAACAAAAAGAAAAGAATATTGACTGAATGTTTAGAATTGTCAAGCCCAACTATTTCTTTAAGAGTCCTATTTTCTTAGTTAGCAGTCATGTACATGTTATATCTCTATAAATTGGTCGGAGCCTTAAAACATTTTTTAAGAAATCAAAAAAATTGTAAAAACACAAAATTTCATTTTTCAAAACTTTTCTGAAAAAAATAACTTTTAAACGGAAAGAGATATTTGCAGAGTTGTCAAGTCACAACTGGAGATTTGAAAATTTTCAGCTGGAGTTTTGGCTTCATAACTGGAGATTTTTAATCGTCATTTTTATCAACGTTTTCAGTGTTTATTTTGATGATAATTAATTAATTAAAGTTTAGTAACATATTTCCTTTTTTTATTTAATGAAGTATTACTATTAATGTAATCTCTCAACAAGATGAATAAAGATCTCAATTTTGCCTTTGTCATGTTAATAAAAGAACAGAATTCCAATGTCCCCCGCGTTGCACATATTTTATCTATCCAGGGGCAATAATTAAAAAAAAAAAAACTTTTTTTTTGGTTGTTCTTTAAAACAATTTATAAATAAAAAAGCGTGCGCGGGGGACAAACATTTTTTTATTGTATACTAAATATTTCAAACAGACCTTCAAGGGCATTACTTATAGTATACTATAAGTTTTATAAAAAATAGTACCTGTGAGAGCACTAACAATGCCATTTTCCATAAATTTAATATGACAAGGGTCATAACTCTTTTAAAAAAAGTCGATCGTCCACCATTATAAAACTTGTCCGAGATATTGCTGATATTAACCTATAGTATAAGTTTAATAAAAATCTGGCAAAAATTTTACTCGTGAGAGCGCAAACAAGGGCATTTTCCATAAATTTAATATTTCCAAGGGTCATAACTTTTTAAAAAAGTCGATCGTCCACTATTATAGAACTTGTCCGAGATATTGCTGATATTAACCTATAGTATAAGTTTTATAAAAATTTTGCAAGAATTGTACCCATGAGAGCGCTAACGAGGCCATTTTCCATAAATTGAATATTTCCAAGTGGCATAACTCTGTTAAAAAAAGTCAATCGGCCACCATTATATATCTTGTCCGAGATATTGCTGATATTAACCTATAGTATAAGTTTTATAAAAATATGGAAAGAATTGTACCTGTGAGAGCACTAACAAGACTGGATGGAGGACAGACAGACACACGGATGCCCGGTATTTCCAGGTCCCACACGTTACGCGGGGGACAAAAATTGCGTTGAACTCCATTATCAAGTTACTAAAATTAAAGTCTTATGTGTTGGAACTTTTGTGAAATCATAAAATTATCGGAAATAAAAAGCAGATGATACTTTTCTTACTATTATAAATGCAGATGGCTGTTCCTTTGCTTTTTGTGTGTTTTTTTACTGTGCATGTACTGATTTTGTGTCATGGATGGATACCCAATATCCTTTGTTTTTTCTATTATTGTTTGTAATTTTGATACAATATTCTTGAAGTAGTACAGATTGCAAAAGAAAATCAAAGCCTGAAAGGCAGTTAAAGCAATTGCTGCCTAGTTCATGTTTTTGTGACTTTTATCTTTCATCCACATGTAAAAGATTAAACCTGACAGGAGTTTATGTAGTGAGAAGAAAGGATTTTCCAGTGGAAAAAGTCACTATTTGAAGCTTCATTACATATGATAAGCTTAAGAAATTTAGATTATGTACAATAAACTAGAGCTAAATACATAGCAGGACTAATAACCCCGCACATGCATGTAAGTCGTTTATCTGAAAGAATTACACTGACTCTAGATCTGGAACAAAGGTTAAGGTTTTAAAAACTGTAATTAATTCTTGCATTTATTTCTACAAATCCCTGATGACTGTCCAAAATGAGAGTTTTAATTAAAGTATATACTTGAAAAAAAAATTAAATGCAAGCTTAAAATCAACAGTGGTCAAAGTAAAAGTCACAGTGACCTGATTTTGATATGTTAAATTACTGCCTTCCTATGATGCATCTGTATATCAATTTTGGTCAAATTAAGTTCTACAGTACAACAGTAATCAGTTATGCCCTGGACAAGGTTCTTATATCATAGGGGTCAAGGTAACTGATTTTGGCAAGTGACACACCCTCATTCAATGATACATCCATATACCAAGTTTGGTGAACCTACGTTCTTCGGTTCAAAAGTTATTGTCTGGACACATTAACTATCATAGAGGTCAAATTCAAGGTTACAATGACCTAATTTTGGTAAACCTAAGTTCTAATTTCTTATATACAAAAGTTTTGGCATCATTAATAGCATTGGGGTAGAAAAACAGTCAAGCTCACAGAATACTGATAATACCAACTGTGATCAACCTAAGTTCTTTGGTACAAGAGGTATGGTCCTAACAAAATTTTTCATAAGGGTGAAAATGAAAAAGTCAAGGTCACAAAGACCTGATTTTGGTATGTGATAACCCCCAATCCCATGATGCATCCACATACCAAGTTTGGTTAGCTGCAGATTAACAGTGCAAAAGTAATGCACTAGACATGAATCAGATAAAATTTCACTACCAAAGGAGTAAAAGGTCAAGGTTAAAGTTACATTGATTATGAAAGGGGGGCATGGGTCCTTTTCTACATTTTTTGCTGATTCTAAATTTCTTCCAAAAAAAAAAAAATTTGCTTCTGAATGGATGTGAAATAATTGTTTGTTTCTACTGAAAATATGGAAAACATAATATGACATTGTGTATCTTGTTTCTGTGTTATTGAAAAAATAGTTTGCTTTTCAAAACAAAAATGAAAAAATCTGTTTGTACCAATAATAAACTATTGACACTCGCATTTGCAATTTTGATAGTAAAATGCAAATGTTGAAACTAAAATGGCAACATTTAAACATGAAAACTATGCAAACCATTCAAAGTCCATCTACCATGACTGAAGGGGAAGGGGGCAAATAATCTCCATGGAAATGAGATGCACTAATGCTAATACATCTGCATACCAAATACTTTTGACATACCACTAATGGTTCCCCTAGAACTGACCTAATCACAAACTAATACATGTAAATTAAGCAAAAGTTTCAAAGTCAATAGTCCATGACTGAGGGGGTGGAACCAAAAATCTCCATGGAAATGAGATGTGCCAATACTTAAACAACTGCATACCAAATATAATTGACCTACCACTAAATGGTTCCTCTTAAACTGACCTAATCACAAACTAATACATGTAAATTAAGCAAAAGTTTCAAAGTCAATAGACCATGACTGAGGGGATGGCACCAAATAATCTCCTAATCACACAAACTAATACATGTAAACTGATCAAAAGTTTCAAAGTCAATAGACCATGACTGAGGGGGTGGGGCCAAATAATCTTCATGGCAATAAGATTTGCCAATGCCTATACAACTGCATACCATATCATTGACCTAACACTAGTGGTTCCCTGTAACCTGACCTAAGTAATAACTAATACATTGTTACTGCCAGTGTGGTATTCCTACTGAGTTAACCACTAGTTGTTGATGCTACTAATCCCAATATACTGACAAATGTACCTAGTTTACATTCAAAAATCCCAAAAAAGAACCCTGGCCTTGAGTTCCGCACCCTTCTGTGCTTACCACCTTTAATCTAAAATGACCCGAATTGTTTTTGAATTTAAGTGCCCTTTTCGTGATCGCTTTACCATCAGTAAGTTGATATACTCCGTTCTAATATATAGCAATGTTAAATTCAGGGGTATTACATTTCGGTGTAACTTACCTTTGTTGTAAATAGGGAATAAACTTGGTATAGGTTTTAACTTTATATCAATAAAAGACTTAAAAACCAGCAGAAAGTCCTATTTTCATCTCCAAGGGGGACGACATGTTTACCCAGCTTATGGTGAAGGCAAATATAGTTGCAGAAAAGAAAAACTCCCAAAAAGATCATGTCATTTTAATCAATTTTAATAGATAAGCTGGGTAATAATTTACCTGACATCATTATCTTTATTGCTCATATATTGCAATTATCCAGGGGTTAAGAAATCCACTAGCCCGACACCCAGGACTAGAGCATTTACATCTAGGGCAATCTAAACATGTAACCAAATATGACTGACGGATTAGTAACAAAATATTATTGGCGTTTCCAAAATAAAAAGTGGAAAATCCCTTCATCTCTATTCTATCTTAGCCTATCAAATTCAATTACGTCATCTGGGATTCCAAGAATTTGAACTGATTTTGTATGTTTTAAAAATAAAACAAATGACTCTGGGTGGACCGGTATCATATCATGTCTGTACTATCATTATCGATTTCTCCGTTACTGGCTTACTTATCGTAATGTACATTGCTCAAGCCGAGACTTTCAATTAATGGTACTGGGGGTAATACCGTATGATGCATTGATTGATGTGAACTGTTACTTGTAAGAATGATTTAGCCTTTCAGAAATTACATGTTAACATAAAATTCAAAATTAATGATCAATCAAAAAAATTTGAAAAAAAAGTGAAATGAAAATTCGACAGAACCACGTTGTTGAAACTGATACACGTGTGGGCATGTACGCAGGTGTGAGATTTAATTTTGCATCTGAATTCTTTAAAAATGCAAACATTATCATAGATACCTTTATCTAAACGTTCATTTCAAGTATTTTCAAGAAGAAATAATGTGGAAAGAACTACATAAACTGAATAGACAACTTTGACAGCGTACATGGAGTTTTGTGTCCATCTTTAACCATTGACTAGTCAACATCCGGTAATAGGAAAAATGCTTTTTGAAAAAAAGAAAGTACAGTTCTGACAGCGTGATATTGCATTAATAAAGAGTTTAAGACAGATTTTAGTTCACTAATTTCTAACATTTCGTATGTGGACTGTCAATTTAACAATTTACGTCAGAACATTAAAATTATATCAAAAGTCTTCTGAAGTTTAGTATCGTTTTAATGTCAATTATTCAGGCATTGTGATGATGCCAACATTTTAACAATGATTGCCTTTGTGACTAAGGCTGACAGGATTGAAATTTGAATCAGAAAAAAATATCCAGCTGACTCAAACATTTGTTGGAAGTCCGGGCTATCAGGTTTGATTTGCTGGGCTAGCAGTTCTATCAACAGGACAAGTAAATCCTGCTACCAATAGGTCCTGGGCTAGTGAGCTGTAACAAAATTTTTTAACCCCTGAATTATCATAATTAATTTAAATTTGACCATTCAGTTTATGATTTCAGCTTTTATGGTTTGAGTGTTCTATCACAGAACTATAATTTGTTTTAGAATAAAAATCATTCATTCATACATACCGTACAAACCGATTAAAGATTTGAGGATTTGACCGTTTGCTGAAATATTCATGAAATGCACATTAACTGTCGATTAACCTGTGAGCTGGCTCACGCTTTACCCTTTTTGTTACTATTCACTTGTCCCGTAAATAATATAACACAACTTACTTTTGAATAAAGAAATTTTCAGTTAAAAGTTTCAAGAAGTCATAGTAAATACACTTGATGACTTTCTGCATGGTCAAGACTAAGAAATATTTCACACCATCAAATGATAACATGCTGATCACGTATTACACAAAACCAAAGACATGACAAAACATTATTAAAGTAAATGAAAATATTATATTTATTTAGTTCGTATTATACAAATGACAACAATCAGAAACATTCTTTCAGTTAAATGTTATGATTTTTAAAACTTCAGAATATAAAACACAAAACTTTTTAATTCCAGAGATTTACAGGTAATCATTTTCATTACCTAAAGGGTCATTATGATATTTGACACTGTCTCCAGAATTATCCTTGATCAGTTGATGATCAGCAGTTAATTATTATATAATAAGTTTACAGAACGGAGTCTTTCAGTGCCATTAGAAATTAAGGAAGTCCTTTATAAATAACAGGGTCAGTAATTTCATGGAAGCAAGTGTAATCAGAAAGCGTGAAATTGTGCTACCAGTACTTTTTAAACAATTAATGTGATATGGGATTACATCACTACTATAACATGTGTAGTGATTTTACAATAATTTTATGAATGAACAAGAGCAAATTGACTTCTTCAAAAAGAAAGACAAATCAAACAACAAAATCCTAAAAGGGATAATTCAGTCAAATATTCAATATTAAATCAACAACTGACATGATTCGATTTTTTGTTGAAAAATCTCAAGAACAGAATCTCAGGTATGAAAAATGCCCCTTTTCACTCAGACTTCTACGATCTTTGATATTCAAATACATCTACAAAAGAATATTTCAAAACTTCACAAACCCACTGTTGTTTTTCAACTGTTTTTTTGAATGTATGTCACTAGAGAACATACATAGGGTTTTAGAATAACAGACGAGAAATCTGCTTAAAATTTTTGGCTTGATCTTGTTCACAAAAATGGCTATACACAACATCATCAAAGCAATTGCTTTAAAAACAGGGGTTCATGTGCTCATTTTTTAGCTAGAAATAACTGATTTGATGACATCAGTGATTTTTCCACCAGTTATGTATGCTTATCATTATCAACGCTGCGAAAACAAGGCATTAAATTTGGATACATTATTATCTACCCTTGCTACTGTATTGTATGCACTTAAAGCCAAATCTCAAATGATAGGTGGTTAAATTTCCCAATTTGCTAATATCCCACAAAAGGTAGTTGTTATACTAGTAATATAGTTTATATGTAAAGTATATTTTTTTGGAATTTCTACAGTAAACTTTTTTAAAGGTCAATTTTGGCAATGAAAAGACAATATACTTACGTCAGTTCATCTAACCATTCAGTAGCTTTCTTTCTTACATATTTATCTGGGAATGTAAAATCTAGCAATGTTAATGCTTGATCTGCCTCTAGTGTAGGCCATGTCTGTAATAGAGCCTGCATCTGTTGAATAAACATATATACAGGTAAAATCTAGCAGTGCTAAAGCTTGAACATATATACATATTCTTAAAAGACTAAATATATCATCAGATATCAAGAGCATCCAATAAAAACACAAATATCATATAAAAATTGAGAAAATAGTATTGGCAAGTTAATAAAATATTATAATTGGCAACTTCAGTACAACAATGAATTTATTGTGACTTCATACACTTTGTTTTTGCAAAATTGCTATAATTGACTAACTTACCATAGATGGCTGTTTTAAGCATGACTTTTGATAAAAGTAAACATGAAAAGCAAACCAAATAACAGATTATACTTAAAATGAAATTGATAAAAATAAAACTTGTACAATGTTGTATCTGCCATACATTGTTATGCATACTGTAAATTCAGAAATTTTTGCTATTTTTTTATCATTGGGAAAATTTCGACAAGATAAAAATTGCAAAAATAAAAACTCGCATTTTGAATCTGAAAGCATTATTAGTATGAAGCATTTACTGAAATCGCAATAATTAAGTTCACATTTTAGTCCAATCTTCAAAAATTGTAAAAAATAAATGCACACAGTAATTTTCGGAATTTACAGAATCTGTTAATATGATAAAAATGTGCAAATGGACATATTGAGCAACATTTGCAGACTTTTGACAAATAAAAAAATTAAAGCATATATCAAAGACAAAATTGGAAAACATCTGATTGACATATACTGAATGATCATCTGAAGAAAGGATATAAAACGAAGTAATTCCTTTGAAAATGAGGGGTTTGTAAGGTGTGGATGGGGTTAACAGAGTATAGAATATTGGGCAAAAAGTGCAGAATAAAGGCCCAAAAAAAATTAAAGAATAGAGAATAATGGGTGCTGAAATATAAAGAATAGAGATATGGGCAAAAAAATAAAGAATAGAGAAAGATGGCATAAAAAAGTAAAGAATAAAGAAATTGAGGACCCTAATCCAGACCCTCTTTTATCCTACTTTCTCTTTTGTCACCAATATAAAGCCCAAAGAAACAGTAATTACAAAATTCAAAAGTAGTTGCCATCAGTAAACAACAAAACCACAGAGTTTTTTACCTTGGAAACTTCAATATGGTTGTCCCAGCTGACTGAATATAACACATACAACAGAGCGTGTGGGAACTCATGGAATTTGTCGCGTATGTCATAACGCATCCACCAAATAAGTTGTTTCTGCTGTTCGTCCAACGTCTGAATTACTATGTACTGGTTAGCTTTCAAAATGCTGTCCAACTGCTGAACAATATTCTTATTTGGTCTCCATGTCTAAAATATCATAAAATATGAAGTAAAACATTTAACTTAAGTTTCCATAAATACAGAAAGTTCTGGAGAGGAGTTATTTTTTCATGATCACTTGATTACTATATATATATATATGTATGAGTACATAATTTGTGTATAAACAACACTTCAAAGTAATTGAATAATAAACATAACATAACTGTTCTGTAAATGCTAAAATTTGAACAGTTCATCAATGTAAAAAAAAAAATTCATCATATTTATCTCTGATATTATACCTTAAGATTTCCCGGTTTACATCATAAACTTTAAAAACTTTGAGCAGAATTCACATATGGATACCTTCCTGCCCATTTGTATACTAGATATGATAATTCAGTCCAATATTTTGCTAAAGGATTCTCCCAAAATGATTTGATTCAAGAAATAAATTAGTTGGAACATATAAAAAATATAACAGAGATCCTGTGAAATTTAAATAATATAAAAATAAGAAGATGTGGTGTGATTGCCAATGAGACAACTCTCCACATGAGACCAAATGACAAAGAAATTAACAACTACAGGTCACCATACGGCCTTCAACAATGAGCAAAACCCATACTGCATAGTCAGCTATAAAGGTCCCGAAATGACAAATTTCAGGGACAGGCACATACAGAATGTGGCGGGGTTAAACTAGCTTGAAGGCGCCAACCCTCCTCCTAACCTGGGACAGTGGTGTTACAGTTCAACATAAGAACAAACTATAAAAATAAGTTGACAAAAGGCTTAATTCATCAGATGGATACAAATAGAAATACTTCTAACAAAACATAGAAGTTTAGATCTGGAGGGACATTTATTAACATTGGATTAAAGTCATGAAATTTGTTTATTTTCAAAACCTGCTTCTAAACCAGTTTCTGTCCTCATAATACACATAAATCTCTTTAATACTCAATTTCACACAAAAATAAAAAAAAAATAAACCATCACAATTAAGGTAAAAACTAAACATTTATAAAAAGTTTTTCTTTAAAATTGTATTAAGATCAGAACTATAAAATATAAAGTCAACAGATACATGAAAATCAAGATGAATAAAAGGAGATGTGGGGGTATTATTCAATGAGACAGCAAACCAACAACAAAAGAAAACCAAAAGACATCTGAAGGGCAGCAGTCTGCAACAATACAATATTCAAACTCTAAATAAGAGTCTATTAAAGTTGTGAATATTTTCAATCGAAACAATAAAATATTTGCCATCAATACCCATCTCTACAAATTATAAAAATAATTAACATACGAAAAATATATTGATAAGGTTTCAGACTTGGGACAAGAATATACAAATATAGCAGGGTTAAACTGGTTTAATGAGCTTTCAACACTACCTTTTTTACATCTCTGTCAGCAACTATAATTAGTGTAATAAGTGGAAATATTTCCCCACATGCTTTTTCCAAAATGTAAATATTTGACCAAATACTTTTTTTCAGAACTGTAAATATGTTACAAAAATTTTTTTTCAGAACTGTAAATATGTTACCAAATATTTTTTCAGAACTGTAAATATGTTACCATATACTTTTTTTCAGAACTGTAAATATGTTACCAAATACTTTTTTTTCAGAACTGTAAATATGTTACCAAATATTTTTTTCAGAACATGGTAATATATTACCAAACACTTTTTTTCAGAACTGTAAATATGTTACAAAATTTTTTTCAGAACTGTAAATATGTTACCAAATACTTTTTTTCAGAACTGTAAATATATTACCAAATACTTTTTTTCAGAACTGTAAATATATTACCAAATACTTTTTTTCAGCACTGTAAATATGTTACCAAATCCTTTTTTTCAGAACTGTAAATATGTTACCAAATCCTTTTTTTCAGAACTGTAAATATGTTACCAAATTTTTTTTTTCAGAACTGTAAATATGTTACCAAAATTTTTTTTTTCAGAACTGTAAATATGTTACCAAAATTTATTTTTTCAGAACTGTAAATATGTTACCAAATACTTTTTTTCAGAACTGTAAATATGTTACCAAATTTTTTTTTTCAGTACTGTAAATATGTTACCAAATACTTTTTTTTTCAGAACTGTAAATATATTATCAAATACTTTTTTTCAGAATTGTAAATATGTTACCAAATACTTTTTTTCAGAACTGTAAATATATTACCAAATACTTTTTTTCAGAACTGTAAATATGTTACCAAATACCTTTTTTTTAGATTTGGATTATGACTTAATCGACTTAATCTTAAAAAAAATTTCTAGAGATTTCACATATATGAAATTAGTTATTCAATAAAAGCAAGTGCCATATTTTATTTCCAGCATGAGTAAGAATGTCTTAAAAATCTTTAATGTCTCTTTAATTTTTTACAGTAAACCAGAGGTTAACCATAATCATATAAATAACTGGATCCTAGAGATTCAACAAATTGGTACTCTCTCTGGGAACATAGTTTATTCATTGCATATAAATGTATGTAATTCAAGCAAACATTGCTGTAAAAGCTGACTACATATAAACTAGGTATATATGATACTACATACAGTAGAGCCTGGCATTCCTGGAACTTCTATATGAGTACTGGCCAGTTCTAACACCTGACAAAAACACAGAACATGCAGGGTTAATATGGTGAAGAGAACAGATGAAAGTCTGAAAAGAAATTTGTTAACAAATTTTCATCCTAAGTATATTGATTTTCTGGTAGAGGTAACAACAAATTTGGTTTTTGTTCATGAAATAATAACTTAAATTTAAAATGGTAAAATATGAACCAAAAAAGTAAACAGACAAAGATGACCTGAATTTATACATGTCTCAAAAGGATGAAAATTAGTACAACATTCTATGTAACATAGTTCATATTAATACAAATGAAATACTTGTAATGATGAGGTAGTGAAAGACATGCAATAACTACTTGTAAATATAACCTAATTATATAAGTATAGCGTGTATCTGAGTAAGTCATTACACTAGGAAGGTCAAGTATTGAAATTGAAAGATTTTAGATCAAAATACATTTTCTTATTAGTGGAAATATATACTTATTGAAGATGTATTAAACAGTAAAGATGGATTATAGTGTTTTCCCCCATTTATAATTATTGAACCAAATTCCACAAACTATCAACAGATTTTTTCCATAAGTCTGCACATACAGACATCTGTACAGGGGAATTTCAAGATTGATAGTTTTCTTATTTTAATTATTTTCATTGGAGAAAATTTAATCTTATCAAAAATTTAATCAGAGAATTTGCATGAACTAATAAGTAATTATATACATTTTTTTGGTACTACATGTACTTCTAAAATTAAGACTCTTTACATTAAACTAATTTTTTTACACAACCAATAGTGTACTGTTCTTTGAATTTGATATGAAAAATAAAAAAGCAAAAGACAAAACGACAAATCCTTGCAGTTTGGCAAATGCACATTGCATGAATTTACAGAATACATGAAAGTTTTATAATTTATTGATACAGATTCAATCTAAACCTCTTCTGAGATAATTTTACTGAAAATTTAGAAAAAAAATAAAAGGTACATTTTTGCAAAGTTTGAAAAATATCTATTGATTTTAGTTTGGAGCCACAAGCCACCTTATATATAACATCGTGCAGAAACATATATGATACACCATCCACCTTTCATTCTATAAATATCATTAAGTAATTCAAATATGAATATTCATTTCACATTATTTTTTACATGTTTTTCAGCCAATCAAAATTAATTCAATATTTGAATGACATCTAGTCAAAATTTTCTTTATTATAAAAAATTCCCCTCTCAGAGTAGAAGGTGCCACAAAGACAAAATAGTATTAAGTTTAGGATGAACTGACTATAAATCTATCATCTTCATAAATTAAAAAATGAATTTTGCTTCACTTTTAACTAAAACAAAGATCACCAATTTACATCTAATGAATATTCATATTTAAAATATATAAAACAACAAGTCTTGAATGTGCAGTGAGGATTCATGCCATGACAGACAACCCTAACTTACTGGTGACCCACATTTCCCTGGCTCCTCCATATGGTCACTGGCACATTGTAAAACCTGTGTTGTAATTTTCAGATCAAAGAGATAATGTATTTACAAGTCATTGACAACACAATGTGTGTAAACTATTAACAACACAATGTGTGTAAGCTATTAACAACACAATGTGTATATACTATTAACAACACAATGTGTATATACTATTAACAACACAATGTGTATATACTATTAACAACACAATGTGTATATACTATTAACAACACATGTGTTTAATATTAAAAAACACAACATGTATATAATATTAATAAAACAACATGTATATAATATTAATAAAACAACATGTATATAATATTAATAAAACAACATGTATATAATATTAATAAAACAACATGTATATAATATTAATAAAACAACATGTATATAATATTAACAACACAACATGTAAATAATATTAAAAACACAATGTGTATATAATATTAACACAACATGTATCTAAAATTAAAAACACAATGTGTATATAATATTAACAACACAACATGTGTATAATATTAACAACACAACATGAATATAATTTTAACACAATGTATATAACAATTAATAACACATTGTGTATTGTATTAACAACACTTTGTGTATAATATATTAACAACACAATGTGTATTTATCATTAACACTATGTGTATTTATCATTAACACAACTTGTATATATACCATTCATTACAACACCCTCTTGTGGATTGTTGATTTATGTGTATTTATCATTAACACAATGCTTATATATACCATTCATTACAACACCTTCTTGTGCATATATCCATCATGGAAACAGTGTTTTCTATATTGGAATGCTAAGTTTACTTCTGTTAAAATATTTTATAATGTTCTGTTATTTCAAACATGACCTCACATTTTACATAGTGCCTTCATTTCAACTGTAGACTACAGATCAATATCATAACACAACATGATATTTTAACGCTGTCACCAAAATGTAATATACAAGCAATACATCTCTACTGGAATCAGCCCTTGATCTCACAAGTAATAAATATAACAGTTGTTTTTTTAAACTAAGCAATGTATAATTGTTTCTATCTTTTGGTATTTGTCTTTCTTTGTTCACTATCTGTAACAGTTTTACTTTATTCTTTTATTTTGGCAGTAGATGTAGTGCTTTACAACCTATATTTAAGGCCCTTTTAATCTAATCTGTATTAGCTACTCATTTTGAAGGGCAATATTTTGTTGTTTTTTTTATCTATAATGAAACCTGTGCCCCCATAAATTTTATGTAATGTTTTATGTAAGTTTTTTTTCATTTGGAGTTTGAAATTATTTTGTGTAGTTTTATCTTGAGTTATCATACATTATCTAACCATTTTGGTTAGTAAATTTCAGTTCCATTTACTCAGTTTTGAAGACTACACACAGACTTCAGTTCACATTTTATATTATGATTTTGCATCAATATTGAACATTGCTTTATGCATTTTTCATATTATAAATGTAAAAACAAAGAAATACACCAATATCCTAAATTTTCTATTTGGAATTTATTTCTCTTACCTTTTCAATAGGAGGGTAATATATAGATCCCTTCTTATTAAAATCTGGAACACTAAATTCTATCATAGAACAATCTCCCTGAGGATTTGTGGCTACTGTTCCTGTAATAAAGATACAAACTGTCAACAAAACACTATAAACTCTATCATGGAACATAATCTCCCATAGGATTTGTGGCTACTGTTCCTGTAATAAAGACACAAAACTGTCAATTAAACACTATAAACTCTATCATGGAACAATCTCCCTGATGATTTATTGCTAATGTTCCTGTAATATACAAAAGATGAATTTCAATCAACTGCTTTACATGAATATTAGTTCCATGCTAACCATGCTAATAGTAGTAAATTACATATTTTGGAATTTTATCAATAGGATTTCTGGTATCAAATAAAATTATAGAATAATTCATCCAGGAATTTCAAAATGTATGTATTTATTCCTGTTATCTAATACAAATAGAAATAAGAAGATGTGGTATGAACATTACCATTGGTCCGAATTGGACCTTTAACTTATGTAAGTTTATAATCAGTCAAAACTCAGTTTTCAGTACAGCTAACCCCCACCCATAACTATTTATATGGAGAATGTATATATTTTTTCATATATTCAAGTCTAAATTGAAAACAACGTTCAAACCTATGATTGCGTAGGATAAAAACCGCAATTTTTATACGTGTGCATGCAAAACAAATTTCTTGGTAGAGGGTTCTAAATACAGCACAAACAACATTATATACTGACTGTTTCTATTTTTTGTTTGTAGATATTTCAACATGGAAGAGGCCAGTGCAGATATATTTAACCAGTGACCAAACCACACATTTATTTTCAAATGCAAGTTAAGGTGGTACCCAACACCTTGACTAATATTAATTTGGCTCGTTTAATTTTCATAAAATTTTGGCAAAATGTTTACTTTGACCCTTTGACAAAAATATAAAAATTTCAAAAAATTTGAACCAACCACTTTATCAGAAAAATTTCGTTGGTTATATAGCAGTTTGACAAACCCATATTTTGATCATTGAGAAGCTTAATATTTCCTTAACAATACAAACGTAATTAAAACGTTTAGCTGATTTTTACAGAGTTATCTCCCTGTAGTGTAAGGTACCACCTTAAGCACACAAATTAGTTATCAGTGTTTTCAGTCACACAACCAAATTTAGCAAAAAAGGCATTAAACTTTATTATTCCCCTAGCCAACTTATCAACAGGGTAACATATTTTGACTTAATTTTTCACCAAGCCAACTGACCAACAGGGTAACAGTTTGATTTTATTTTTCACCTAGCCAACTTACCAATAGGGTAACAGTTTGACTCTTCCTGTTGTATAAGTTCTGATCTTGGCCACAATGGTAACTTCAGTTTCCCTTTTTGTAGATTTGATTTGTAGTCAAAAATTGGAATATTAGCCCAAGCTAATAATAATGGTTCCTGAAAATAGATATTACTTAAATTATATGTAATATTATATTTTGTCCTTCAACCTTGGTTTTTTTTTTTGTCTTAAGGTAGATTCACTGTATACTGCCATCTTGGATTGTACAAGAGCAACTAGTACATAATCGGTCTAGTTCTTTGCCTAAATCTGCAAATTTTGAGCCAGATTTGCAATTTATGTGTAAGACTATTTAATTATATAAAGAATAAAATGCTCCGCTGGGGCGCAGCTTGATACGACCGCAGAGGTCGAACCCTGAACAGTTGGGGCAAGTATGGACACAACATTCAAGCTTGATACAGCTCTGAATTTGGATTGTGATTAAATATTTGACACAGCATAGGTTTCTGACACAGAATGAATGTGGTCTAAGAACTTAAAAATTTTAAATTGGACATTCACCTATTATGGTCCAATATCCAAAATCTAAATACATGGTTAGATTCAGCATATCAGAGAACCCCAAGAATTCAATTTTTGATGAAATCAAACAAAGTTTAATTTTGGACCCTTTAGACCTCAATGTGGACAAAGTTGATAATGGGGCCCAAAAATCAAAAATCTAAATACATGGTTAGATTCAGCATATCAAAGAACCCCATATATTCAATTTTTGTTGAAATCAAACAAAGTTTAATTTTGGACCCCAATTTGGACCAACTTGAAAACTGGGCCCATAATCAAAAATCTAAATACATGTTTAGATTCAGCATATCAAAGAACCCTAAGAATTCAATTTTTGTTAAAATCAAACTAAGTTTAATTTTGGACCCTTTGGACCTTAATGTAGACCAATTTGAAAACGGAACCAAAAATTAAGAATCTAAATACACGGTTAGATTCGGCATATCAAAGAACCCCAATAATTCAATTTTTGATGAAATCAAACAAAGTTTAATTTTGGACCCTTTGGACCTCAATGTGGACCAATTTAAAAACGGGGCCCAAAATCCAAAAACTTAATACACGGTTAGAATCAGCATATTAAAGAACCCCAAGAATTCAAGAATAAAACCCCATTGAAATTGGTCAAGAAATAAGTAATTTATACGAAGTATCTTCTTTTGCACAATACAGTGCAATTGAATATTTCTTGCCATTGCACAATACTGTACAATTGACAATTTCTTGCTATTGCGCAATATTGTGCTATTGGATATTTCTTGCTATTGCACAATACTGTGCAATTGAAGATTTCTTGCTATTGCGCAATACTGTGCAATTGAAGATTTCTTGCTATTGTGCAATACTGTGCAATTGAAAATGTCTTGCTATTGCACAATACTTATTATATAATAATTCAAACATCCTGTTTGGTGTGTATCTCCTACCATATCATTATTATTTGCTTTTAAATATAAAACAGAAATAACCAACTTAAAATGGAAAATTTAAAAAAAAAAAAAAGGAAAAAAAGAAAAAAAAGGAAAAAAAAAAAATCCCCCCCCCCCAAATTTTTTGAACCCCCTCATGATTCATCACCCCCAAGCTCAATCCCAGCCTTCCCTTTGTGGTATGGTACTTTGCAGTACAATTTCAGAGAGATCCATACACTTGAACACAAGTTATTGTCTGGAAACTAGAAAAATGCTTATTTTTGGCCCCTTTTTGGCCCCTTATTCCTAAACTTTTTGGGCAATTACCCCCAAACTCAATCCCAGCTTTCCCTTTGTGATATGGAACCTTGTAGTACAATTTCAGAAAGATCCATACACTTACACACAAGTTATTATCATGAAACTAGTAAAATGCTTGTTTTTTGCCCCTTTTTTGGCCCCTAATTCCTAATATTTTGAGGCAATTACCCCCAAAATCAATCCCAGCATTCCCTGTGTGATATGGAACCTTGTGGTACAATTTCAGAGAGATCCATACACTTGAACACAAGTTATTGTCTGGAAACTAGAAAAATGCTTATTTTTGGCCCCTTTTTGGCCCCTTATTCCTAAACGTTTCGGGCAATTACCCCCAAACTCAATCCCAGCTTTCCCTTTGTGATATGGAACCTTGTAGTACAATTTCAGAAAGATCCATACACTTACACACAAGTTATTGTCATGAAACTAGAAAAATGCTTGTTTTTTGCCACTTTTTTGGCCCCTAATTCCTAATATTTTGAGGCAATTACACCCAAAATCAATCCCAGCATTCCCTATGTGATACGGAACCTTGTGGTACAATGTCAGAGAGATCCATACACTAACACACAAGTTATGTCTGGAAGTTACAAAAATGCTTATTTTTGGCCCCTTTTTGGCCCTTAATTCCTTAACTTTTGGTACCATAACCCCCAAAATCAATCCCAACCTTCCTTTTGTGGTATTGAACCTTATGGTAAAATTTCATAGAGATCCATTCACTTAAACTAAAGTTAGAGTGCGAAAACCAATGTGTCTTCGGACGACGCCGGACGAGGACGACGACACCAACGTCATACCAATATACGACCGCAAAATTTTTTTGCGGTCGTATAAAAACCAAAGTCCATTTATCAGTTAAATATGGCAAAATGGAGAAAATATTTACAAAGTTTGATCTGGATACTTTCATTTGCTAATCAAAGGCTTCTGTCCAAGTTTTGACAAAATTATAGATGTCTAAAAACTTTTAACTTTAGATTGTTTCTAAATAACTGTAGACAAGAGTGTACATGCTGAAATTTCATGCCTGCTTTACTGATTGTAATGGATTTAATGTTGACAGAATTAAAGATAAGAGTTTTACTAAAAGTAACATATAAACTAAACATTATCAATGATCCATGACACAAAGATTATATAAACTTGTGTCAAACAGACATTAGTCTCTGATACATGATTTTTCATTAGTCCCCTACCCGAAGTGGACTTTAGGTTTGCTCTCTGTCTGTCTGTCTGTCTGTCTGTCTGATTTGTCAGTCCGGCAAATCAGTTTTCCACACTTTATTTCTTCGTGCTTGAAGATATTGACTTGATATTTGGTATATTGTTTTATCATGACAAGTTACAGATAAAGTACGAATTTGTTGCAGTCTTATGATTTTGTGCAGAGTTATGGTCCTCTGACTTAGAAAATTCACTCAAATAATCAGTTTTCCACACTTTTTTCCGTCATGCTTGAAAATATTGATTTGATAATTGGTATATAGTTTTTAATAATCATGACAAGTTACAGATCAAGTTAAAAAAAATTTCCGGCCTGATGATTTTGTGCAGAGTTTTGATCCTTGGACTTAGAAAATTCACTTAAATAATCAGTTTTCCACACTTTTTTTCATCATATTTACTTGAAGATATGACTTGATACTTGTTATATAGTTTATACCATGACAAGTTATAGAGCAAGTTAGCATTTTGTTCCAGTACAATGAATTTTTTTACCGGTAGGGGACTATGTATTGCCAATGCAATACTCTCAGAATGCTTCTTTTTGATTGTTTTTGGCTTTTAACTAGCTTTCAGTAACTGCGAGAACTCTCAAATTGTACTTTCGTGTTGATTTGACCTGTTGACACAATTTGTAATGCATTTTTGTTATTCAATGTTTGCTTGTTTTGTGTTATATCTCGTCTCACTACTTTTTATATGTACCACCTTTGATAAATGTTTAGTATTACCATACATTTTCAATTCTAATCTCTTACTATGAACAACAAAATTGTGTGCATGGGACACAGATGATGCCCCCGCTTGCATATCATATAAAGTTATAAAGGGACATAACTGAAGAACGGTAAAAGTGACGCCACCCAATTTTGAACTTGATCTGTGTTTTGTGGTAATAAGCATTGTGTATAAGTTTCATAACATTTGGTTGAGGCAAACTAAAGTTAGAGAATGGAAACGAAAAATTCAGCAATTTTTCCATTTGTAAATGGGCATAACTCTAGAACGGTTATAGTGACGCCACCAAAATTCAAACTTGATCTGTGTTTTGTGGTAATAAGCATTGTGTATAAGTTTCATAAAATTTAGTTGAGGCAAACTAAAGTTATAGAACGGAAACCAACTTTGGGTTGTACGGACGGACGGACGAACAAGGGTAAAACTTAATGCCCCCTCCTCTACGGCAGGGGCATAAAAAATATTTCTGTACTAACAACAAAATTATTTTATTTGTAGTTACCTATGTAAGTTATAAGTCCCCTACCGACTAAGTCGAAGGGGACTTTAGGTTTGCACTCCGTCTGTCTGTCCATCCGTCAGTCCAGCAAAGCAGTTTTCCGCACTTTTTTTCTTCATGCTTGAAGATATTGATTTGATATTTGGTGTATTGTTTTATCATGACAAGTTACAGATCAAGTTCCAATTTTGTTTCAGTCTGATGATTTTGTGCTGAGTTATGGTCCTCTTGACTTTGAAAATTCACTAAGATAATCAGTTTTCCACACTTTTTTTCATCATATTTACTTGAAGATATGACTTGATACTTGTTATATAGTTTATACCATGACAAGTTATAGAGCAAGTTAGCATTTTGTTCCAGTACAATGAATTTTTTTACCGGTAGGGGACTATGTATTGCCAATGCAATACTCTCAGAATGCTTCTTTTTGATTGTTTTTGGCTTTTAACTAGCTTTCAGTAACTGCGAGAACTCTCAAATTGTACTTTCGTGTTGATTTGACCTGTTGACACAATTTGTAATGCATTTTTGTTATTCAATGTTTGCTTGTTTTGTGTTATATCTCGTCTCACTACTTTTTATATGTACCACCTTTGATAAATGTTTAGTATTACCATACATTTTCAATTCTAATCTCTTACTATGAACAACAAAATTGTGTGCATGGGACACAGATGATGCCCCCGCTTGCATATCATATAAAGTTATAAAGGGACATAACTGAAGAACGGTAAAAGTGACGCCACCCAATTTTGAACTTGATCTGTGTTTTGTGGTAATAAGCATTGTGTATAAGTTTCATAACATTTGGTTGAGGCAAACTAAAGTTAGAGAATGGAAACGAAAAATTCAGCAATTTTTCCATTTGTAAATGGGCATAACTCTAGAA